CTGGGCAGTGCTGGGGTAATGGACTCGATGGTCTGAAAGGGCTTTTCCAACCCAAACGATTCCATGGTTCTATTCTACGTAGAAAGACTCTCTCAAGGACCCAGACATTATAAATCCTGCTGTTCCCTCTCCCTCAGCTCAGCTGAGCGTATCCCATGGCCTCTGTGTGTCGAGAATAATCTTGTTGCAGGTTTAATTACAAGGTGAAATATGCCCAATTCTGTGATTCTATTTCCGAGGGACAGTAAAGAAGCGGAGCTGCTGCGAACAGGGTAAACTCTTACGAGGATGAATGCTACGGCAACAAGATTTTTATCACATTCATGATACCATTTCTCTCACGCCCGTGACACCCCCCCAGAGCAACGGTACGGATCTGCCTTGATCTCCCCCGAGCTATAAAGGGAGGGCGTAGTTGTATTTTGAGAGTGAGCACAGGCACGCACAGGCGGATGTGGAAGAAGCAGTCAGATGCTTTTATCAACCACAGGATGTGCAGCCTTACTATGCTCTTTATTTTTAACACCAAATAAATACAAAACAATCCAATAAAAACCAAACAGCAGTAAATCTGAGAGATCGGTGGCTTTTAAAAGCAATGCTATTAAGTTTAGGCCCCAAATAAATGTTTTTTTTGGGGTGAAAAACGTCCCTGGGTCTGCAGTACAGATGGCTCTGGATGAATGAGTAGATTTCAACCAGGATTTGGGATTGTGGGGGCTGAAAGGACAGGTTTCTGGAAGGTAGAAACAAGAGGCACTTCAATCTCAAAGCTTTTTCGTGAGCACTAGGGGTTTAACTACTTTATGTGCTTTAAAAAGCACGTTCCTGGGAGACTTCCTCCCCTGATGACGGAGGAACCCGTCTTCCATGTGTCTCAGCGGAGAGCCTAGAGCTGGGTGGGTAAAACAGGTGAGGGTGCAGTGAACACCACAGGCTGGTAAAGCATATGTTTTTTCCCAAATCCCTCTGCTTTTGCAGGAATGGCCAGGCTCTGGCCGCTTGGAAGCTATTCTGCGTGCCCAGCATCGCCCCCTTCTTCTGTTTCTATAACCTCTGCCTCACCAGCTTTCTCATTCCTCGCCGTGCCGGTGAAATACGGAAGCACAGTGCAGATGGAGGGCAGGCAGAAAATTGGATCTGGTGACTGGGAAGGAGCAGTGGGGAGAAAAATAAATCTCTTAATACCTAAGGTCATTGTCGTGATACTCCGACAGGTTTCTCGGGTAAGGGCCGAGGCACACGGTGCTGAGAGGGAGACGTCTGCGTTGGCACACGACGTCGCCCTGACCTCGTAAATATTCCTCTTATTTACTCTGCCATTCCTATCTCCTGTGAGATTCCAGCTCTCAATTTTCCAGAACAGGAATCCCCTCCAAAGTGTTTCAAACCTGGTAAAAAATGAAGTTTAAAAAATAGATGGATATTAAAATATAACTCCCTTGCTTCCTGATGAAGGGGAAGGTGGTCTCTGCCCTCTTAGAAATTCCCTCTCTCCCTGGAGCCACCCTCTGGAAAGCTCGGAGCTCCGGGTTTCCTCCTTGCAGAGCAGCACGAGCTAAAATTTCTGCAGGAATTTGAGAACCAGGTCGCGCAGTTTCACCCTCAAAGGTTCATCGTTGTCGCAGATGATGTGCGTGGAGTCCTCCTCAATCTGAATGAGGGTTTCTGCCTCCTGCAGGAGGACGATGTGGCCCTTGGCTGTGTCCTCCACCTTCACGTCACTGAAACCGTGCTAGATGCAGCGTTGGGGAGGGAGTAAAAGAGAGAGATGTTACTGCAGCTCCGGAAAACAGGTAGAGAGGAAGGACTAGGGCAGAGGGGAGGAGAGGGGAGAATGGCTACAAAATCCAGAGTGCCCCTGCAGACATCCCAGACCTCTGGGATTTTGCAGAGGAAGCACGTATAGGCGACGCTAAATTTGACCCCCATTATACAGATGGATAAAGTGTAGAACAAGGAGTTAAAGCCAACATTTTCCACTGCACCAGGTCACTGCTGTTGCAAAATTATGAGAGACAAAGGGAACAAAAGCCTCCTTTAACTACAGAAATGACCATCTGCTGACATCACTGCCTCAAGGAAGATAACTGAGAGCTACTGAACCCCAGGGTAAACCTCCTCACAGGCAGTCCTGCCCTTTTTCCTGCTAATTTTCACCAAGGAGCCATGCAGGTGAGAACAGGGCTCCACAGAGCAGTACCCAACCGCCCGCAAGTTCTGCTACCAAGCCCCCTGTCCTGCAGCTCCCTGGAAAGCTTCTCCATCAGTGGGGGCACTTCCAGGATCTCTTCTTCACTCAGTCACCTCGTTTTCACAAAACTTAAATAGGAATTTAAATACTTCTGAGACCTCCTCCCCACTGGTCAAATGTATTGGAAATGAGCCGATGAATCCAGTTACATGGGGGAAATTCACCCACCCAGAGTGACCCCAAAAGCTCTCCTTCCATGGCAAACCAGGAGGCAATGACTGACGTGAATACATGGGGGGCTACAAGGAAGCTGGGGGGGACTTTTCCCAAGGGCAGGGAGTGACAGGATAAGGGGTGATGGGTTTAAATGGAAAGTGGGGAGGTTGAGATGGGACATCAGGAAGGAATTCTTCCCAGAGAGGGTGGGGAGGCACTGGGACAGGTTGCCCAGAGAAGCTGTGGATGCCCCATCCCTGGGAGTGTCCAAGGCCAGGCTGGATGAGGCTTGGAGCAACCTGGTCTAGTGGAAGGTGTCCCTGCCCATGGCAGGGGGTGGCACTGGCGGGGCTTTAAGGTCCCTTCCCACCCAAACCGTTCTGGGATTCTGTGACTCTATGGAGCCCCGATGTCAGGACATGACTCCACAGAGAACTATTCCCTCCACACTCAGTGCAGGGACACACGGTGCAGGGCAAATCCAAAACAGCCTCTTACCAGCTCCTGTGAAGAAAATTAACTCTGTCCTGACTAAAACCATCACACTGAAGTACTCTGCTTGCTCATTAGCCCCCTCCATTCCAAGTTTTCCCTCTCTCTCCTAGCAGAGCCGCACATTTGCGGGATGAGCAGAAAGCTGCTTGACCCTCACCTGCCACCCAAGACTCATTAATTACCTTCTCGAGCGTCTGCACAAACTGGTCCACGGGAATGGAGCCGCTCAGCAACGGCTTCAGAGGTTTGCACTCCGGCACGTCGTCGCTCACTCGCTTTTTCTTCTTGCTGGCGGGAGGTTGCGGAGGTTTCGGAGGGAGCTAATGGATGAGAAGGTGGAGAGTGACGCAGTGAATCCCATCAGCTTATTATAACTTCGTTGGAATAAAAGGCACAGGAGAGGGAAAAGGAATACTGATTTGGTTTTCAGTGATTAAAGGGGAACTTTGCAGCGCTGAAAGGGAGAGGAGACGCTCAGCCTTGGGCTCCACTGCAGCTCGGCACACATGCGCCACCATTTACACAAAGAAATCAGTAGTTTTAGGTCAAATCTCTGTCATCTTAAAATTTCTGTCAAATTCAGTTCTGTTGCGATTTCTGTCATCTTAAAAGGCCTGTCTGGCTCAATTTGACTGATGCCTTCCAGCTCAGCATTCAAATGCTCTGCAGTATTTTCTAGGAATCGTGCCTCAAAGAAGTCAGTGCCTTGAAAATCACGCTCTAGGAGATGCCACAGGTTGGGAAACTGGCAAATTCAGAGCAAGGAACTACTCGAGGAATGAGAAAAATGGGTAATTTATGTCTCACTGGCCTCAGAAAGGTGGGTCTTTAGGACTTTTAGGACTTGAATACAGACAGGGAGGTGCGAGAGATGCTGCAGTGCCTGAGAAATCATGGGAGTGTGATCTGGGTGTAATTTTTGCTGCTTCAGAAAGCTGTCCTCTGCCTTAACTCACCCCCGAGACCCTTCTCCCCGAGCAGGAAGGGGGGCAGGTTAGCACGTGCAGCGGTAGCTAACCTAGCACGGCGCGCTGCTGTGTGTGCAGGCAAGGTGCGGGGGTGACCGAGCACTTCTGAAAGGGCATTTCATTTCACGGAGATGAAAACCAGATCCCTGGAAAAACAAGAGTGAGGAAATGATTGTGTCATAGAAATCCACGTGTCCTCTGCCAGGTTAGATAGCTCGGGGAAGTGTCAGCACTGCTCTTTCCCAGTGAACTCAGTCTCTGGGAAGAAGGTGCTGGGGAAAACATTTGTCCAAAATGTTGGCAAGACCATTTGCCAGGGGTGTGTCCGCACAACACGTCGGGAATTCACCTGAAGCAACCCCCATGTCACACTCCAAGTGACAGACTGAGCTCCTCTCGACTCTGTGTCTTTCCCATGTGTAGCATCGTGTCCGAACTGCTGCCGCCATGTCCCTGATTTTCAGAGCCAGGGAAGGGTGGTTTTCATCCTTGGGAGAGAAATGCCATCTGCTCAGGCTCCACTTCCAGAAGCGGGGATTGAAATCCTTCCCGGAGAGGGTGGGGAGGCACTGGGACAGGTTGCCCAGGGAAGCTGTGGATGCCCCATCCCTGGGAGTGTCCAAGGCCAGGCTGGATGTGGCTTTGAGCAACCTGGTCTAGTGGAAGGTGTCCCTGCCCATGGCAGGGGGGGTGGAAATGGATGATCTTTAAGGGCCCTTCCAACCCAAACCATTCTGGGATTCTGTGATTCTATGAATGCCAGGCACTGCAGTGTCAGCCTAAGGGAGGTGGCAGTAAGAGCATTCACTCCTACTTTGCACAAGGATGCAGTGCCTGCATCCCGGCGATCTTAGGGAAGACAGTCCCTTCGTATGTCTAATGTTCTAGGTCATCTTCCCCCTCTGACCCTCAGTTCTAAGTCCATGAGCAGCGGGCTGACACTGATCCCGGCACAGGGGTTACGGAAGAAAGAGCAGTATGATTTGTAGCCTCTCTTCACGAACCATCTCACTTCCCCTTTTGTCTCAGGCAGGCACACGGCCAACGAAAAAAGGGTAGAGAGATTTATTTGCATCCCCCTCTCTAAGTGTAATTCTTCACTCGCACATGCCAGGACAAAGCATCTGGCAAGGACTCTGCTCTGGTGGGGAAAGAGCTGCTGGAGGGGTTGCCCCATGAGAACAGCTAAGGTCCCAGAGGGCAGGAAACCCAGTGTAAAGAGGTTTTTCTCCCTTTCCCCATTATACTGTACCTGCAGCACATGCTTGTTGTCTTTAGTATGCAACACAGCAGAAACTGTTGCTAAGGAAATACTAGGCTTGATCTCCAAGGGCACGAGCGAATCTGCAAGCTAAAGCAAAAGAAGGATTTTGTTCAGCAAGCGATAATCTCAAAACGTGCATGAATCCAGCTGTGATTTAAATTGGCAACATGGTATTTTTAAACATGGACTAATGAACCGTAAACACAAACCCACTGATACAATGACAGGGTGCTCCTCTTACCTGCTCAGCCTTCCTCCTGGCTCTCCCAGCTCCTGGGCTCTCCTGCCGTTATCAGAGCAGTGTGAGGCTTTCCGTAACCAAGGCAAGCCCCACAAAACACAGCACACGAAAGAGAAACCTCCTTTAAAAGGACCTCAACTACTTTATCAACAATTTTGATTAATAAAGCTCATGACGTAATTTGTCTTGACTTATTCTCTTTGTTAGGTCGAGGGACAATGTAAGATCAAAGCCAGTTTCCTGCCCGTTCCCTAGGGCTGTGGCATTCCATCTGCGGAAGAGCTGGAAGAAAATGGTTTGTCCTTAAAAACCCAAATGGCTCTGTTGACTAGTTGGAATTTTTTTCCTTATAACACTGCATAGAAACCCTTCCACTGCCTTTGACAGAATTCTTCTCTGAAAGAAAGAAAATTCAGTCTTGGCTCCAACTTGGAATTCAGTGGCAACCTCCCAAGATGCTCAGCTTGGCGGGTGTTGGCAGCGAATGCGGAGCGGGCAGCACTGCACCGGCTGAGCCTTGGGAAGTCAGCCAGCTGGGAGGCACCTCTTCCAGCCATGTTTCCAAAGGGACGCTGCAGAAAAGGGTGCTCATCAACACACAGAATTATTCCCTTTTCCCTCCAGCTGAGTTCTAGATGATGATACACTGGACACTGGGTGTCCTGGAGTTCTGTCCAGGACTAGAGCCAGGATCTGGTCCTAGATAAGCAGGTACCTTCACACTGCCAGCAGCCCAAGCAGTGTCCAAGCGTCGCTCCCAGCCAAGCACGCTCCTGTTAATCACTGGGGACTGGAAGGCAAGGATGTGTGAAATGTGCTCTGTGTCCGTGGGGACACCTTACAAAACAAAAATGGGTGAGAGCGCCCACGCGTTATGCCCCTGGATGGCAGGACTTGTCAGCTGTGAAGACAACACCTGAAGGGACAGAATCTTCTTGGCTGTTTTTCCCAAGAGCTGTACCATCAACCCACTCAGACCATCGCCCCATTCCATGCCAAAAGAGCCTCTACAAGATTTCTTCCTGGGGAGGGTGGGGAGGCACTGGGACAGGTTGCCCAGAGAAGCTGTGGATGCCCCATCCCTGGGAGTGTCCAAGGCCAGGCTGGATGAGGCTTGGAGCAACCTGGTCTAGTGGAAGGTGTCCCTGCCCATGGCAGGGGGGTTGGAACTAGGTAGGCTTTAAGGTCCCTTCGCGCCCAAACCCTTCTGTGATTCTGTGAACCTGATCTTCATTTGACCTCCATTCCCTTTCATCTTCAAACACATGGCACCTCCAGCTGGAGCCAGATATTCAGAAGAGCTTAAACTCCAGGTAAAGGAGCAATTTTGAAATTTCAGCCATCTGCTGTCACACTTCCATGGAGCAGAGCTCGAGAGAACCAGCTTTCATCACTGCCCTGCCAGCAAGGCAACAGTCTCTCTTCAGCTCACCAGATGCTCCCACGCATGAAAAGAAGGATAAAAGCTGAATGGATTTTGGAAAAGCATGGTGTATTCCCGTTTTGGAGGCAAAGGAAGATTACATTCCTTACCAAAGGCCATCTAGTGAATTTTCAACAGGATCCAAACCAGGAGATGAATCATAGAATCAGAGAATGGGTTGGGTTGGAAGGGACCTTAAAGATCATCCAGTTCCAACCCCCCTGCCATGGGCAGGGACACCTTCCACTAGACCAGGTTGCTCCAAGCCTCATCCAGCCCGGCCTTGGACACTTCCAGGGATGGGGCATCCACAGCTTCTCGGGGCAGCCTGTTCCAGTGCCTCCCCACCCTCTCTGGGAAGAACTTCTTCCTGATATCTAATCTAAACCTCCCCACTTTCAATTTAACCCCGTTACCCCTTGTCCTGTCACTACAGGCCCTTGGAAAAAGTCCCCCCCAGCTTCCTTTTAGGCTCCAAGGACTACTCTGCTCAGGCCCCGTGGACTGTGCAGAACAAATGAACTCTGCCAGTTCTCAAGAACGTCCAGGTACCAACACTACTGCCAAATACTCCGGTCTGCTGTAAACTATGATTACGTAGGTGATCACTCTATTACAGCAAACCTCTTATCCTCGTGAATACAGGAGCGACTGAACTTGACTTCAAAAAGCACTCGCTACGGGCCTAATCCTTTTGCCATCAAAGCAGTGGGAAGGCTTTTCCAATGGCTGCAATGGCTGCTGAGTTCAGCTACTTCTAATAACTCCTGAAAATCTTACCTACCACTATGAAAGCTGCAGGAATTTAAGAGTGCATCCTTGCGATATGGCAGTTGGATAGATGTTTGCCTTGGAAGAACACAGACGTTTTAAGGCCGAATGCCAATCCCGTAAAATTTCGCACATATTCAGACTTGGCGAATCTTAGAAATCAAAATTTCATGGAGGAAATCAGATTGCCCTCTCTCTGGGACTCTGTTCAAGAACTCGAAGGCAGGCAATTTGAATGCAGCCTGCACAGTTTGTTGCTGAACGCTACGAGAATGAAAAGATAATGACAATTATCGCTTCCGATTTCCCCTGGGACCTAAAAACAGCAGCACTTGCAGCAGTGTGGTATGCTGCCCTTCGCAGTGGTCAAAGGCACTTCTCCTTTTCCCCCCACCTTCCAGAGGAGGATCGATCCAAGAAGAACGCTTGGCAAAATGACAAGCAGCGTGAAGAGAAAGATCCGTAAAAACCAGAGAACTGCTTAGAAACGAAGTCCTCCTCTGCCACAGAAATACTGTGATATTCTATGATTCATTCTGTGATTCTATATTAGAATCGTAGAATCATAGAATGGTTGGGGTTGGAAGGGACCTTAAAGATCATCTAGTTCCAACCCCCCTGCCATGGGCAGGGGCACCTTCCACTAGACCAGGTTGCTCAAAGCCACATCCAGCCTGGCCTTGAAGACATCCAGGGATGGGGCATCCACAACATCTCTGGGCAACCTGTTCCAGTGCCTCACCACCCTCCCTGTGAAGAATTTCTTCCTGATATCTAATCTAAACCTCCCTGATTTCAATTTATACCCATTACCCCTTGTCCTGTCACTACAGGCTCTTGTAAAAAGTCCTCTCCCAGTACCCTTGTAGCCCCCTTCAGATACTGGAAAGCTGCAATGAGGTCTCCTCGGAGCCTCCTCTTCTCCAGGCTGAACAAGCCCAGTTCTTGGGCTTGTTAATATTACCTTCTTCTTAATATTACCATTTATGCAGGTTTTAACCACACAGCTGGTAAACAGCAACACGTTAATTATTAACAGTCAGAAAGAGAGTAAGACAAGAGGCTCATTTTTATTTTCTCGATCATCCCACTTCACCTCACAGCCCTCTCCGTGCTGCAGCCAATCCTTTCATCACACACGTTCACTGACCCAAACCAACGAGGTGGTTTAATCACAGCCCGTAATTCACCCACCAAGAGCAGACAGCACTGCGGTACTCCTTCCCACTGACCTCCCGCGCACACAGATCACAGGGCTCTTCCAAAATGCTGGCTTAAAGGAACCTTTTCCAGAGCGATAGCAAATCTTGTCTGTCCTCCAAGCGACGGCAGCTCCACCGTTTCCCCTCGCAAGCTGTTCCAAACTTTAATTTTCCTTGTAGCTAGGAAACCGTGTCTTATTTCAAGGTTGAATTTGCCCAACTTTCAGCTGCTGGATCTTGTTATGGCTTTGTCTGCCAGACTGAAAAGCCCCCCACGATGCAGGAATAAGTGCTTCTTCCTTCCAGTCATTATCACCCGTCTAATGCCACACGCTGGCATCAGCAAAGTCACGAAAGCGGGGACGCACGGCACTGAGCACTAACATCACGTTCATCAGCCCCCTGCCTCCGGATGAGCGCTTGGACTGCCTTCAGACAAACCTGTGTGTACCCCTACTGCCTGTTTCGGGTTTTTAAATCCCTCCTGTTAAGGAAAAGTTTAAAACAGAGACCAACCGAAGTCACGGACTGTCGGTCTGAAACTGCCAGGGTTAATGTGAACCCTGTAAGGGCTGAGGGAGAGAGGAGACCGCTCGGGAAGTTCTCCTGAGATCAGAGCAGCCCACCTGTCCTCTTAAAGACACTTTCACCGTGAACTGCAGGTGAAGCTTTTGTGTAGGATGCATTTTACACAACAAAATGATATTAGTTCATAAAGATTCATAGAATCATGGAATTGTTTTGGTTGGAAAAGCCCTTTCAGCCCATCCAGTCCAACCGTTACCCCAGCACTGCCCAGCCCCCCACTAGCCCATGTCCCTGAGCCCCACATCCACACGGCTCTGAAACCCCTCCCGGGGTGGGGACTCCCCCCTCCCTGGGCAGCCCCTTCCAACCCTGACAGCCCTTTCCGGGAAGGAATTTCCCCAATATCCAACCTAAACCTCCCCTGGCACAACTTGAGGCCGTTTCCTCTTGTCCCATCGCTTGTCCCTTGGGAGAAGAGACCGACCCCCATCTCTGCACCCCCCTTTCAGGGAGCTGTAGGGAGCGATAAGGTCTCCCTGAGCCTCCTCTTCTCCAGGCTGAACCCCCCAGCTCCCTCAGCCGCTCCT